CTCACTGTCTTTTGTCTAGGCCTCAAAACATGAGTACCCTTAATGACTTATTTGAGCAGATTATACAGTCAGAGGAGAGGATCCGAAAACGTTTCGCCAAACTTCGTAATGGTTAGTAAGCTTTAATTAGGTGCCTTAAGTTACGCTTAAGCGTAAGTCTCTACCATATGCTTAAATGTCGACATGAACACGAGTGATCTCGAGTGTTTTGCTGGAAAATAGACTTAAGTTTAATTAAGCTTACATGAGCTTGTTACTTTAGTTAGGTTATGACCATTGTTAAATTTTATTTTTATTGACCTTATCACGGTTTTCGACGCCATCTTGACGGGTAGGCAAAGCGGTCAGAAATTACAGTGTTTGTATGGGAATCCGATGGCAAATAACCTTAACTTCTTGCAAAATCGAATTTTGCAAAAAATAAAACTACTAGGTGGAAGATTGTATTTACGAAGTTTGAAGGATCTAGCTCGCCTAGAATATGCTTAGTTAATTTTTCTAATTTTCCATGAATTTGTCTGTAAATTTGTCTGGGTATAAAATGCGGTTCGATTTCCTGGAAAAAACTGGATCAAGGATCAGTTCAAAATAAATCAAATTAATTAATAGACATGATTGATTTTGACCATAACCCTAAGTGGGTATAGGGCCAGATAGACATGATTGACTGCTCCCCAGTCAAGATCTCTCTCAAGATGTCTCTCAGTCCGCAAATGATCCCAGGACCGCAAATGATCCTGGACAGCAAATGATCCCGGACCGGAAAGGATCCCCGATAGGGACCGCAAATGATCCCGACTAAAAAATAAGAAATGGCATGGAAGGTGGGATGGTGTGGATAGAGAATTGGCATACGTGAATACCGATGTTTTTATTAAGGCCATCTTATAATTATAATGGCTTACAACTTGCTTTTTTTTTCATACTTTCGACTAAATTTTGTTGCTAACTACGATATTATGACTATCGCCACTCAATCATCAAAACACGACTTGGCTTGCATTTCTTGCTTGGCTTGCATTTCGTTTTGACAAGGTAGCTGTTTAGTAGATGTTTGATACTATTGCCACTGGGATTTCGAGAATGTTTACAAGTATGTGTTTTTCCAAGACTTCTAATTCAATAGGTCTTCTTCACGTGACGTGTTTTTATCCTCATCAGGCATAAGAGGCAGTATATCTTATATCTGTTATATCTATATCTTATATCTGTTTACAATTAGCATGCTTCGTTTGGAAACCAGAGCATTTTGAATTTCAGGGTTATGGAGGTTGTGTAACACAAGGCTACGATCAAGTTTCTTGAAAAATGTATACTTATCTCATGACTTTGAGCCTTTTTAGAAGTTAGAGCATTAGGAAAAGTGCTTATGTAAATACTTGTTTGTTTAGTACTGATAATCAGTTACCTAGAAAGCCAAAGTAAGTTCCAGATGTTTACACTTTATTCCGGCCACAATATTGGTGTACCACGGATGTATACCAACATGGTGTTTTCTTACTGGGCTCTGTAAATTTCTGGGAAACATTTACGACAAATTTCTGAAGTTTGGGGAAATGCACAGGCATAAGACTTGGAGAAGTGTCTTATTTAGTTATCTTCTACAGCATACATCACAATTTCTTAGCTTTTTCCATTGGTTGGTTTTCGATTTATTATTTTTTTTTATTGCGTGACTGTGAAAACGATCTATACCATTGAAAGGACAAAACAGTAACTGTGGAATATTTTTTTGTACAATGATAAAACATGTTTTTTAGTTCATAATTTTTGTACATGTTCTCACCTTCCTCTGATATAAATCCATGCCATTTCTTATCTTTTGATTGGGGTCATTTGTGGTCCAATATGGGGATCATTTGCGGTCCGGGATCATTTGTTGTCCTGGAATCATATGCGGACCCGTACATCTCTCGTCTGCTTAAGCGAAAATAAGAGAAAATAAGAGAAAATAAGTGAAATCGGCACAATTATGATAAGTATGATAAATACGAATATCCTAAATACTGAAAAACCTGTACTACTTTGCGGAAGTGCCAATTTTCGCCTACGCACTAGCTCTGAACTACTTCTATGTCATCGAAATCATTGCGGATGTTTAAAGCACTGCTGCTTTGCAAACCATGCTTAAACATGGAGTGATCCTATATAACAAGGCTCAGGTGTTCAGCCTGCCAATCACAAATCCCAAGCGACGACCAATGATCCCATTTGATTCGCTTATTCGCTCAGGTCTAATTTTAGCACGTTGCTACAAAATTCTGGAGAGCGACGGGTGTAATTTTCTGTTTCATTTTACAAGTAAGCAATGGCTTTTGAACTAAATGAACAATAGCTTCAGGAGAAGAGTCATATTAACAAAGAAAATTGACTTTTTTAAATTTTAACTTCATAATTTTTGAAAACCTTTCATATGAATTCGAGCTGTTCACTCAAATTTATAAAATGCTGTGGCTAGTTCTTTTGATGCCAGAGTGTCTTTGCTCCTTCAATGATTAACGCAGTTGAGAAATAAGTTTGGAAACTCAAACTTGTAAATAAAAGCCAGGTACAAGCAGAATGCGAAGGTAATATATTTTATCTACAGTAATATGGTTATTCTTCAGCCAGTTACCTAAATGAGATTCCATAAGGTGAACATTGGCTGCTGTTTTACTCTTGCTGCTAAACTTCAGTCGGCCTTTTACGAAGGCAATTTTTGTTTTTATCACATTCAGCCATGAGCAGTCCTTCTCCTTTCTAACGTCAATATTCAGGCAAAATCTCACTTTGCCATTTTCAAGTTCTCTTGTTTCTTAGTAGTACTTTTTGTTTCCAATTTCTTTGCTCTGAAGATAGAAACATTTGAGGAATAACTCAGCGTTGTTCAATTTGCATTTTGTTTGCACCATCATAACGCTCATAAATCTGAATAATTTTAAACATCCCACCAAAATCCATCTGTGTCCACAGGCTAACCAAAATCGCCTTGTACAAGATTTGTTTTCGTTCTCGGCATGCTGCGATAAATGGAATCAGATAGCTCGTTGATTGCAGGCATCAGCTTAATGATATTTTAGTTTGGTGGCAAAATTTGAATGTTCTGTAAAGTGACGAGGATAATTCATCGTTTTTGTTCTTCCGAAGGCATCTTCTAAAGTGTTAATATGAGTTTTATTTTCACTGTATTTTTGTTACTCACCTTATGCTATTCTACATAAATGACTCTGTTGTTTTAACGAGAAAAACACTATTTCTCCACGACTTCTATGTTATACGACTGTTGTTTCGGCTTTTCACCATTGCAAAAAAAAAGCCAACAAAGTGCTTCAAAGGTGGCGTGTCCTTGCCTTTTATAGGATCGCTCTGTGTTTAAGGTGGCTGAGCACAGTTTTTGATACCTGTTTCATTCACCTTTTTCTCTAAGACCGTTGATCCTTTGGCTGCCAAAATGGCAGCAAGCAAGTTAACACAAACTTTAGTTTTTTGATAGTTAAGCTGACGTATGTGCCATTACCATGGCAACATGAATAAATATAAACAGGCCTTTAAAATCAGTTTTGTTTATTTGCAGAAAATCTAGTCTTTAGATTTTCTTTATAATTTGCATGCAACAAGCTTGTAACGATGCTCACAAGTTAACACTATTGTAGTAATAATTTAACAGAGCGATCTTTAATTATCCCTTGTTGAAGGTTCACTGGGTTATCTAGAATTTCCTTTGTTAAAGTTCAATTTTTTTCAAAACTCCAGTTCCGTGAAATTCTAATGATTGGTTCCCGAGAAATAGGCATATTTCTGAGAAAGCTATTTACCATTCAATCGCACTTTTTCAACTTACTGTGCTTGCGCTACATTTAACTGGATTCTTTTGGTAACAAAGAAAAAGCTGAGTCTTTTCTAACATACCTTTGTAATGAAAGACTAAAACCATCAGTACACTGTGTTCAATTATGAAGAAAAATAGTACAGATAGCGTGGGCATTGAGCAAATAAACTGATTGCTGTATTGACGCCAAGATTGTTTTTTCGCAATCCTTGTGTGCGCACTGAATTGCATTCGCAAGAGCGCACGTGAAAACTGTGTTCTGCCACCTTAACCGTTGGTGCAGTTCCCCTGTTCAAGCTGTTGAGAAACAGAGAATGATAATACTAATAGTAATAATAGTAATAGTAATGATAATATTAGATTTATATAGTGCTAAAATTATAAAATAATCTAAAGCGCTTTAGAATCTGCAAATGTCAAAGTCCTTTATTTTATGACAAGTGATCAAAGGCGTGGGAATAAACTTTCTGCCTGCTGTGTTTATCGGTGACAAAAAAACACAATTCCTCCTCGTTAGTTGTCAGGTACTCTCCTTAAGGTGGCTTACTACAGTTTTTCGGAGACTAGTAGCATGTGCTATGATTGCTTGCCAGACTTTACTATTAATTGCACGTGCACAAATGACACAAGTAACCCTAAGAAGAAACGAAAAACATTTCAGCACTTGAAAGGCGTTAAATTACTTTGGTATAGGTAGCAATAGTTTCAAACTCCATTCAAACATGTGTTTAAACCTAGGGCCAAAAAAATATGACAAAAAACTTGATAAACAACCAGTGAAAGAGCTCTAAATTACTCCTGCTTTCTCGCACGCGATAAATGGCGTCACATGACCGTGCGCTTAAATAAAGGGCATGCGCAATTCAATTCTCGTCCAAGGTTGTAAAAGCCAGTCTTTGATTGAGGATTGCTTGAAAACCTACCATACAACCCATGATGAAATTTTCACAGTTGATTTGTAGGGGTGAATCACGTTTAAATTTTTTAAAACAATCTGTAAGACAGATTTTGAGCTATTTTTGATTAATTCACATTTTCTTAATTTGCAAAAAATCTGTCGTACAGATTTTTATTTTACTTCGCATGAATGTTAAATCAGAGCCAATTTGTTATTCCTGAAATTTTGAGGTGGGTTCATAGAGGTAGATCTTGAGAAGAACGTGATTTAACCTACTAGTGCCCAGTCTCTCCAGAGGTACTCGGTCGTTCATTTTGGCCATTTGTTGACCTTTAATTGTTCAAGGTTCACATAGAATGGTAAAAGAGTTAAGTAAACAGTAAGTAGAGAAAGGAAAAACATCTA